GTGTGTGTGTGTGTGTTTGTGGGTGATATATTTAGCGACTGTTTATCATATATGAATATATATATATACCGACTGATTGTTTATCTTGTGCAGTGAGGTCCTACTACAAAGAACCGCCATGTATCTATGATCATTGTTACTTCGCTCTTTCCATACTCACACAGGTACCTTAAAAGCGTGAATGTGATGGTGCAAAAGGCCGATCTGATCAACTCTTTTACCAAGGCTCTCACTACCAACCAGCAGTCCACAGAGACTCTCCCCACAGAGTATGCGGAAGCGTGTCTGGACATCGATCGACCGCATATACAGGTGGGCTGCTGTTGTGTTGCTCTACATTTCGTACGGCCATGTATTGACATGTGCAGTTATGTATCACGTGTGTTATACTTTCATGTGGCATGTATTACCAACAGGTACGACGTCGTATATCTGGCGTTCATAGTAGAAATCACGCATCATAATCTACGGTCATGCTTTCTCTTGTACTATCACGATTTATCTTGCGATCGTGTTCATCTCGGTTAAGCTCATGAATTTGTGCTTGCCAACGCGCGACACGTGTAATTTTTGCGACTATGCGCAATCATGCGTGCGCCTGTTCAAGAATGTGGTACTTTGGTATGAGTTTGTAGTAGTTAGTGTGAAAATTAAGTGCTGTTTCTCAGATTGTATGAAAATGTACTGAAATTTGGAAAGTGGAGAATCCTGATTCCCTGATTGGGTGTAGTGAAAGTCTGGAGAGTGAGGGAGTGCGTATCACGATTCTTGCATGCAAAATTGTGTGGTTGGAGTGGACATGAATATGGTGGACAAGCCATGCCGATACATCTGTGTTTGTTCGTGTCAACAAACATTTGCAATTAGATTGCACAAATACGCACGCACTTCGTTTGCGTATCCCATACACAGATTTCATATTGATTTCCGGTTCTTATTGTCAGGCACTGCTTCCTTCTCTTTTACCACGATCCAGATATTTGCAATTCTGATGTATTTGAGGAACAATAATCGAGGTGAGTGGTTTTGTGGTCACTGTTCGCCCAAGTACCCTGCGCGGTCAAAAAGTATTGTTGATTGTCGTAGTTTATCCCAATGCTGTGAAAATGGCTCGAATACAGGTACTTTATTATTATTATTTGTAATTGTATGATAGGATCCAGAGAGACAACAACCCCGAAACTATTTGAATTAATTCGAGAAACGCGACATAGGAAGAGACACCAGGTCATATCTTATCAAATACACACAATTATTATTGAAGGCATGCGTGCCATCTGGGTAAGTGTGACTTTATAATTTGATGTGAAACCTTATTCGTATCATCACTGGGTTCTAACACACCGTTGATTTCTCGTCGTTACGTCTAGTCGGCCTCGAGATCTTCAATACATTTCAAGTTATCGAGGATACCGTTAGAGGCTCGACAAAGGAAGGACCAACCGATTTGGAAAAGGGGCAGGACCAGAGCCAGGCGGATGTGGCCATGAGTGTCATGGCGCTAGCGCCTGACAGACATGAACGATGACTGATAAATTTAAAACAGTTTAAGTCTCAAGGTGACTTGACGCCCGTGAGAGCAGGTGTCGATCAGTTTTCTAATGTATGTGTCTGATCCACGGTATATTGTTTGCATTAAGTGCAGTAAACTTGCTCACTTCTGTGCAAACTAGACTGAACTTAGTATGCTTATCATGATACAGGTAGACAAATCAAACCAATATGTACATACAAATGCAAAAC